AGCCACTTGCCCCCTCCCCAAACCAAGCTCTGCCATCTCGGGGGGGCACAACAGCCCCCCGCCCTGGCACCCCTGCCAGCGCCTCCTTCTCGCAGCCTTGGGGGCCTGCGGGAGCGGCAGGGAGCGGTCGATGTTCGCTACATGATCGTCAACGAGAAGGCGCCGCTGTCCCGCGCCATGCTCGCCGAGCTGGAGCGCCATGCCCCGCCGGGTGTCCCTGTCTACCAGCCCGAGACGGAGGACCCTGATGTCTGGCAGGTCCTGGGGGGTGACAAGGATGACTTCCTTATCTATGACCGGTTAGTGTCCCCAGATTGCGTGAGGCTTTCCTGGGGCTTACAGAGCACTCGGTGGGCTTCCAAAATCTCCCCCCACAGCTGTACTGGGGGGTCCCAGAACTCCATCTCAAGCCAGGCCATGGCTTCTCCCCTCAGGTGTGGCCACTTGGCTTTCCACATCCAGCTGCCCTTCAGCTTCCTCCACTTCCCCTACGTGGAGTCAGCCATCCGCTTCACCCACAGCAAGGACTTCTGTGGCAACTGCTCCCTCTACGCCAACACTACCCAGGAGGTAAGAGCAGGGATGCTCGCTGGAGCCAGGATTCTTTCTCTCCTCTGGCATTGCAAATCAACAAAAATAATCTTTATCTCCACGCTGGGGACAGACTCTGGATTGGCAGCTGCCCTCAGCCATGGTTGAAAGGGAAGGTGATGAAAGGTCTGGAATAAGAGCACTTAAATAGGTCAGAGCTTTCAGGCTGAGAAGGAATAGACTAAAGGGGTCATAGCCAGGTCTGGGAAAGCTAACTAGGACTGTTCTGATATAAGAAAGGGGCAGGCAGTGGACACAGAGGTGGCAGCTCAGAGCAAAGAAAAGGATGTAGTTTTGAGCTCGGCAGGTGATTAGTCACTTCCTAGGAGAAAAATCCATCCAGAAATACTAAATAAAAAGTCCCTTCTCTGGACTACAGACAGCTTGAGCCAAGGGATGTGGGTACAGATGCTTGTGTCCTGTGTGCTCCAGCTTCTTCTGTCTTCCCTGTGCCCTGTGCCAGGGCTGGAGAGCTGCTGACCCACAGTTTTCTCTGTGATGGATTCTGGTCAGCCTTCATTCCAGCTCACAGCCATGCTGACAGGCCTTCTGCAGGGCTCTGTGGGCATTCACATACCACACCATTCCTTGTGTTACCTTCCTCAGGCTAACAGTACCATGGAGGTCCCTGTAACCCTGAGCCTGCTTCCCGAGCCCGAGGGAAAGGAGTCAGAGACCCCCATCCACCAGCACAACCCCCTAACCACGAGGTCAGCCATGAAAGAGCCACAGACCCACGTGGGGACCACAAACCTGCCACCCATGCTCACCACCACCATGGAGACCATGACCAGCTCCATTACGAGGGGAAGAAGCAGAGGGAGGAGAATGAGCACTAAGCCAGGCTGGGCAGCCTCGCAGAAGCCAGTAGTGTGCAGACCACTTCAACTCGCTTCACAGAGGTGCAGAAGGACTTGCTTTGGGCTGCTGAACAACCCCCTTCAGCAACCCCCATGTGGGTCACACTCCCATGCCGTGACAGAGATGCAAATCCCCATCGGACCGTACTCAGTGCTGAATTGTCAGCCCCAGGGCTTAGTTCTGAGCCTTCCTCTGCCGCTGCCTGCCTTTCTGTGCTCAATGAAGCCTGCCGTGCAAACCGGGAGGTCCCTGGTCACTGCTGGCTGACACTGCATAGAGCAGCAGGGCAGGGGTGGAGGGGCCGGAGCTGGGATGGGAGCAGCACTGCCAGCACCCTCTGCCCATGCCGGCACCCCTGGGTGTCCCGGCCAAGGAGCAAGGGGAGGGCGCCGTGTGCCACGCAGGATGCGGTCCCAGGGGACTGGGAGCAAGAGGAGCTGTGGGAGGTCGGTGGGAGGTCGCAGGTCCCCGAGGTCCAGACGCAGTACCCCCATAGCTGTCCCATGCTGGGGACCACCCAGGCCGTGCACACGGGTATGTGCAGTGGTGGTGGGTGGCCACGAGATGGTGGCCTTGTCCCCTCTTGGAGACCCAGAGCTGTATCCAAGGGCCCACAGCCCTGGGAGGATGGGGTGAGGATCCTGGGGTCTGTCCCTGGGGGGAAGCGAGGTGGGAGGGCGATGCGGATATCCAGAGTATGAATAAAACCTCTGTGAAGCGACCCGTGCTCAGTCTGGCGTCTGGTGGGGTCCCGTCCCAGAGAGGGTGGGGGCTCGCTCAGTGCCGGGCTGTGCTCTGAGCACCGGGAGCTCATGACACAGCAGCTGGTGGGGATTTACATCCCCTGGGCAGGGCTTGGAGGTAAAGGGGTTGAAGACTGAAGAGATCCCATCTCTTCATACCTTCTGGTTTCCCACTGCCAGAATGGGAGCCCGGGGCATTAACACTGCACTGCTATGAGGACGTTTCGCTCAGCACCTCCATCTCTGGTTTGTAGGTATGGTTTCGGGGTACCTGCCCCAAACTGCTGCTCATTCCCACATGCAGTCCATAGTAATTGAAGGCATCTTGTCCCCAGTGACCAGACCAGTCCCCATTGTGAGCACATCATGGGGCTCCCTAGCCCTCAAGCAGTTGGGTGCTGCATCCCAGGCACAGTCATACTTGCCTGCACCTTGGGCTGCCCTCAGGCCTATCTCTGGCCTTCACTCCAGCTCCATCCATTGTCCCATGGAGCCCCACTCAACACCTTCCCAGAGCTCCTCACCTCCTCTCCAGGCCCCAAAGCCTGAGTGGAGAGCAAAGAGATTCTGCTCTGCATTATGTGATGCCATGTGTGGTGCATGTCCTGCTGCTGATGATTTGAGCTGCATTTCTGCACCCCTCCACCCTGCCTCTGCTGGAGGATGCTCTGCCCAGTGACTGGGGTAAGAATCAGGGTGAAGAGGAGCTCTTCCTCACGGGGATGAGGGCAATGGGATCAGATGGGTCTTTCTCACCAGTCCGGGGGAGCCAGCCAGGCTCTCCCATGGAGTGCTGGCTGAGACCTTGCTCCCCCTCCTCCACCTCTCCTCCCCCTTCCTCCTCTACCTGCTCCCAGTAGCCTGCAAGGGCACCTCTGTCTGCTGCTCCTGCCATCAATATTGAGGTTATCTTTTTCTTCTGGCAGCTGCTGTAATTGAAACAAAGCAGGCCGGGCCTCACGGGCTCCGCTCCTCTCGCTCATTTTGCCAGTGCTGCTGAGACAACTAATTCATCTTATCGATGCATGGCTGGCCTCTTTTTCACCAGATCCAGACAGATCCCTCTCCCCACCATGGCTGGTGGGAGCAGGCTGTGTCCCTGTGGCATGCTGCTGAGTGCTGCTCTGATCCAGCCTCTCATCCTTGGCTTGCCTCAGCTGGGTCTGGCCACCAGCAGGAGATGCCAGAGGAGCCAGTCAAGGGGAAGAGGTGCAGACTGGAAGAATTCATGTGACTTTTATCTTTTTCTTCTTCTTTCTGTTGCTTCCTCAGCACTTTTGTTAAATTCCACATCCTTTCCTTGCACAGCTCCTAAAGGTGCCCCTGGCAAGGAAGTGACAGGCGAGGAGTGGGAGATACACAGATTTGCATTCCCTTGCTGATGACCAGATCTACAATTAGCCGTGGCAGAGAGAGGAATCCTGTCTGGTGCTGGGTGGGTCCAGTGCAACTGCTATCATTTGGTTGCCTCCCAGTTGATGAATTTCCAGCCCTGAAGGCAGGGGAGGCTGCCTCAACCTTGGAGGAGGGTCCAGGGCCAGAAACTAGGTCGGAATTCAGGTCCTGGCAGTGCTGTGCCTCAGTCCCCTGGTATCTGTGGCAGTGCCACCAACCTGGAAGAGGGTGTACCATGATACCCTGATGTCTGTGGTTGTGTTGTCACCCCACAAGAGGATGCAGTGTGGTACCCTGGTACCTGTGGCTGTGCCACCACCCTGGAGGAGGACAGATGCCAGTTTCAGCTTACATGCAGCCTTGGCCCTGTGTGCTGGTCCTGCTGAGGGCCAGGCAGATCCTCTCGGGAGAGGGGGAACAGCCAGTCCTAATGTCAATAGAGGCCTCTTGTGCAGCGATGCTGTGTCAAGAAGAGGAATGGGTCCCTCCTCCTCCGCCCATTCATCTGGCAGCCGGGGCTGGCGAGCTGCCAAGCCAGGCTGCTTTGGAAACATTTCATTGAGGAGGCAGCTGAGCCTAGGAAAACAGAATGAAAATATACAGAGGGATCACTGTTGTTAGGCAAAATAAATGCAGGCAACTGCATTTCTGTTCCCCAAGTCCAGCCCAGCCGGGCCCCTCTGGCTTCTATGGGGTCAGGGTGAGTGCTGCTGCCTGGGAATGGCAGCAATCTATCTCCATTGTGCATTAGGAGCTAGGGAATGAGGGCTGGAGAGACCGTCCATGGCTTTGGCCAACTTGCTGATGCCCTTAGAGAAGGGGCCCAGACTCATCTTGGTGTAGTGTTGGCCAAGGACAGAGCAGAGAAACAGCAGCAGAGATGAGCCAGCAGCACAGACTCGCGTTCCCTGCATGGCCAGCAGTGTGGGAGGCTAATGAAGATGGGGCTGCAGAAGTGTATCAGATATAAGCCTCATTCATTCTCATCTCGCTCTCCAGCTTCAACCATGGGACCAGGGAAGGCATGAGGCCCCCAGTGGGACAGAGTCCAGTCCCTGAGTTGTCAAAGCCCACTTGCTTGGCATGCCCCATCTTTTGTCTGCTGGCAGAAGGAGAGCAGAGTCACCCCAAAGCAGCCCTCAGGGACAGAGGCTGGAGACACCTCTCTGACTTCTGAGTAAAGACGCATTCAACAGGTTCACTTTTCCCACTGTTTCTCCGATAGCCTCTCTCCTTCCTCCAAACTTTCTCCATGGCCGCTTGCTGACCTGCGAGAGACCCATCCCAGCTCTCGTTCCCTCCCTCCTGGCAGGTCCAGGCTGGTTTGGGGAGGCAGAGCTGGAGCCCCAACCACATGGGATACCAAGGCTCTCATCCCCACACAGCTGCTCTCTGTGCCACTGTGGCACAGCTTTGTGTGGCTTCACCTCCTCTCTTTGTCCACCCAGCACAGTCTGGTTCTGTTATTTATGGTTTAGCTCAGGAGTTTGAAAGGAGCCCAGTGTGAGCAGACAAAACCCAACCCACACTCTGGGAGAGACACATCTCACCAGCCCAACCCATGTATGGATTTGCAGCATGCAGCAGGTGCCCAAGGCTGAGACTGAATTCTTTTCTGGTCCTCGTGTTTGTAGCTTTGCTAAAATTCAGGTTTCTCGCTTCCACACCCCCACCCCCCCCGCCAGGAAAGCATCTAGCAAGCTACTCCTTTTTTGCTGCCATTTGAGGGGAGATTTGCCATGTCTCTCTCCATCTGCCTCTCCTCAAGACAAGCTGGGTGACACTTGGCTCCTAAATCCCCACTGCTGAGAGTGGCCTGGCATGATGGCAGATGTGACAGTGATGGCCCTCATGGCATGTGAGGAACCACAGCTCAGTAGGGCTGCCAAAATGCTGCAGATGACTGTAAAGACCAGCAGGACCAGGCACAAGGAGAAATAGTATAAATTGGGCTGAAATTACTTTCATCAAAGCTGTTTTCTTATTAGTTTCTGTTGCCCCCCAGCCAGCCAATCAGCATGCAGTAGTAAGGCCACACAGCCAATTGTCATCCAATGATGTGGACAACCAGCCAATCAGTCATGGGGCACTGCAACCTCCCAGCCAATCAGCCATGGGGTATTTTAACCTCCCAACCAATCAGCCATGCCTTAAGCACCCAGATCAAGTGGCATGGCCCTGGACAGGCAGATCTGCCTGTCCCATGGATCGTTTCCTGCCTGGGCTCCAATGATCCCTTGTTCCAACATTAATTACATTCTATTGTTAAGATTTTGTAGCTTGTCTTTTGTGTCTGAGTTTGTCCAGCTTTCAGCCTCTTCTGTATTGTTATTTTAACTCACAGAGTCTGTGTGTTATCTTGTCTTATGTTACAGATCCTTTTCTCTTCTCCTGAAAAACTGAAGTTGGTTCAGTGTGTTGTTTCCCATCAGTTTCTCCCCTCCTTCCCTAGAAGAACTTTCCTTACCCAGAGTTATGTAGATTGTAATTACCATTTGCAAAGTGTCTTAAATACAGCGGGTGGAAGGCTGGAATGGGTTATCAGGTTCTCTGCCCACAGAAGGTGTGTGGGACCCTGGGTGATGGAGGGCAGAGGGATAAGCTCCAGCCCTGGCCTGACTCTGACTTTCCACCCAGCTGGATGCTGCAACCCCTTCACATCTCCAAAGCCAGAGCAGACTCTATGCTAAAGGCTAGCAGGAGCATTGTCTACTCCTCACTTTGCCATCATTTATTCATACTTTCGTAGCCTGCAAAATGATTCCCTGGTTATTTTAGCATCTCTAATTAAGGGGAAGGAACTTCAGTGGCTGAAAGGGGGGGCAATGGGCCTGGGGGCT